AATAATAGTCACTCCGCAAACTATCTAATCTATCAATCAATCAACCTATCTATCTATCTATATATTTATGCATGTCTTTGTCTTTTTTTGCTTGTTGGATATTTTATTTTTTATTCGAAAAGCAACTGAGGTTTCCTGAGTATTTCAACATTAGAAACAGTCTTTTCCGGGAGTGATGTGTGTCTTGTTTGCTGTATAGTTACGTTCTAACTGCAGCACATTTCACGCTGAATGATTAAATTAGTAATTTATTAACATATCTACTTCACAATCACTTTAATAAATAATAGTGAAGAAGCAAAATTGAGTTAATATTTAGTGATTACCTGTAAATGGCCATCCTTAGAGATATCAGTTTTTGAGTAGAAGCATTCTTTGTTAAATTCATCAGTACACATTGTGAAACGTGCTCCTTCAAGAGCGAGATATTCATAGAAGCAGAAATATATAGGTTGTTCTGAGGCTGAAATGCTTATCAGCGGGCTGATAATCCGGCGCATAGAATTTTTGGAATCACCGTTGTAGGATGCTACCAGAAATGAGTTTATTCCAACAGGTGGTACCATAATCCCGGTCAACGGATTTGAAAAGCCATCAGTTCCTGTCGATGCTGTCCATCCATCAATGCCTTTTTGCCAGTCGCAGTCTTTTTCTGAAGATTTATTATGTATGCATAATTGTTACGCTTAAAACGTAACGAATCGATTGTTATCTGTATGTCATAAAGAATATCAAAAGATGATTTTACAAAAAATTATTGCAAATACTTTCACCTATTTCGTTGCAACAAGCAATCACGTTGTATAAACAAGCCAAAAATGCACTAATTCAAGATGATTACTCTTCGTTAAAGATGATTAATGTGTGGCGCATATCACATACGAACTATTTCAATTTAATGCAACATAAACACATAAGATTTTGCTTGTGGCGAAATTTTGACGTCTTTTTAACACACTGTAAATTTCGATCAATAAGTGACGTAATGGTCAAAATTTGTATTTAATTTTTTACTGAGCAAATATGGAAACAATTGTCACGAACAACGCCTTACCAGCAGGATTGCAGGACAGTCTCAGGCACTGAACCATTAGAGAATCCGCTAATAAAGATGATGCTAGTTGTAACGCGGATGGTTGGCGCAGATTTGATACTTTTTGTTTGGTATCTAATTCTTGAACTTTGACAAAACTGTTGGTGGAATCATGGAAGTTATGCAAAGGAATCAGGCGTCTAGCCTGTTGTCGCTGTGGTTTGTTGAAATGTTCGGTGCTAAATGGTATTCCTACTGTGCAATCTGGGACAAGATCACCATCTACAACGATATCCTGCACAAATATAACACCACCATGTTTACCAACAAAATTATCGCCCAACAAAACAATCTGAAAGACGACAACTTAATAAAATGTTCGATTTATTTCTATTGCTACATCCACAAACTTGTAATCGTTGTTATCGAAAAATTACTAGAAATTACATTCACCATAGTTCTAAATAACGGACTTAATTCCTTTTCAGGAAATTTTCCGATATTTTTGCATGCAATGATTATCGCTCCTCAAATAATAAAGTAGATTTCCAAGATTAGAATTTAATGCTATGATTTTGTTAGTTGTGAATTGAATTTTAGCTATAAAGCCTCCCATTCCGTTATCCTGGAATTCCGTTATCAATGTGCTTCTTGCTTATTACGAATTAAACTGTTAATTCATTCCCAATCACTAAGATGTAATCTACTGAATTTCATGATACATTCTTATTTTGAATCATATGTATGTTTATTCATTAGCTTTTTGACCAGTTATAAAATTTAAAGACACCCGGGCTGGTGCAGTAGGATCACGTGGTCCGGGTATATTCACTGTAACCGGTATGCCATTTTGTATGGGGAACAGGTTGCAGTTTGAATAAAATTGATCGGCGTCTATGTTACGGCTACAAATCTGCAAATTTGGTTGTTGTTGAAATGGTCCATCTGAAGAGGATCGCCAAACTGTAGCAGTGAGTTGCAGTGGTGATACAATACACGGCAACAAATCGGAAACAAGTTGTCCAGCATCCCATGCATTGCGATCACCGGATAGAAGAACCGCTGCTGATGCATCTAAAAGTTACCTAAATGATTCGCTGTATAAAAATGAAGTGACTTACTTGTTGAAAGCACAGTTAAGCGATGAAATATGGCTATTATATCGATTATAGTAGGGAATGATGATTATTACTTCATCTACAAATTTCATTTCATAGATTTAAGAAGAATTCCTGAATTTTTCAGCAACCGAATAATGCATCATACTTTTTTGGACGTTCCTATCTATCAAAAGTTTAATTAGTGGATTAATAAATTAAATGTGCAAAATAAATGTCAGTTGATATTTGTAGTTTTCACGAGATAAATAATAATCTGTTAAACATGCAGAATCACAAATTCATCGAAACCAGGATCACAAAATCAGCAAAAAAAAATAGTAGGATATTGCTAACTGATTTGAAATCATGCAAAGTATGAGACTGTAACTAGAAATTGGAATGACACAATCGTCTGACCTGGAAGGTGAGTTGTATGAAGCATACTGACCCATGGTTCAGCCTGCGGTGTAGACAACAGTACTTTCCAGTCCAATTCGTCTTCATTCGTATTCGACCATCGACAATCATTATCAAATCCATGACAATTCAAATCAGAAGCCTTCTGTACGAAATTGGAATTTTCTTCGACATTCGATGATGCAGCGTGTAGCGACAGATGCTCATCGTTTATCGTATTGAAATCAGTTGCGTCAGCATAAGATCGTGCACGACCTGCTTAAATTCCAAAATTTAACTTCAATATTTTGCATTTAAAAGTTTCTTTCGAAAAATAGATGATATCTGTGACAACAAAAATTGAAGTGAAATATCAGTAACTTTCAAAAAAGGATGTTATTGCTGATTCGGAGAATTTGTACTCAGAAATATTAAATGATAATTGATTTACGAATTATAGTAAATACCTGATAGAGCCATTGGATAATGTGAATAAGTTTCATAATAAACTGGTGGGAAGCATCCATTACCTAAATGTTGCAATCATTCTTTTTCATTAGATGAATGAACTTTTTTGTGCTAACAAAAACTTTGATACTTCCATGAAAATTGAAAAATTTTTCAGAATCGCTAAAAAGTGCTTCATAAATTTTTTCCATAAAAATATTGCGGAATTTTTTTGTTCAACAATATGAAATATCAATGGAAGTAAAATACATCATTAATTTTGCTAATCGTAAGTTATGTGCTATTGTGTATCTTGAAAATAATGATCAAACAAATGTAGTTTCAGCATTTTCAGCCACTTTTGTCCATAAATTTGTAATTTGTAAGCAATCATTTTACTTATAATTGATAATTAAGATGAACTGAAAACTACATAAAATAAAACAAACGCTGATAAATATTATGAATTGGAAAAGATAGATCATTAAGACTAGCTTGTCATAAAAATCGATGAAACATATTAACGTGATAACTTCACCTTTAATTTGACTTCTTATAATTCGCTAATAAGGAAACATTACCAATTTTTGGATAATAAGCTGGAGAAATAAGAGTGGGATAGAAGTAACAAAAGATTTTTCAACCCAATATATAAAGTATATAACGCTATCTAGTTATTTGAGATTATGATTACAAATAAGCTTGGTGAAGTGCATTTCTGCATGATTTCTTTGCGAAATGGAATGGAAATGGAAAATTTAATTTCTAGATACTTCCATCAACATCATCGATTCGTTAAGTAATTAAAATTTCCAGCCTCATTCTACTTCTTAAAGTAATTTTACTGTTGGGAAATGTTAATAATTTAATGACTAGAATATAGCAAAATGCTATTTTTAAAGCTGTGAAATTAAGAGTGACAATAGAATTTTATAAATAAAATAAAAATGAGCAAGATACGTATTCGTACTCTCACTTCAATAAACTATTACTACATGAAAATCATAATACGATCATAATCATTATAATGATCATCACTTCTCTAATCACTGTTATCATTGTCAAGTTTTTACCAGCCGTCACTATCACCATCATTATTATTATCATCAAAAGCAAATTTACTGTGATTAAAATTATTTTTCTTTAAGTAATTAAAATTTCAAATTAATTGAATTTCCATTTCCTTATAATCATTTAAGTTTCAGACATATTAAAAATCAAAGAAATTGCTACTTACATAGGTGTAAGGAGGAATAAAAGTAGTAGAGGAAAAAGTAAGTGGTCAGTGGCTGATGAAACATCATCATCACTTTGTGCAAACAGTATCAGTTTAGTTAGTTCAGGAATTGAATTGAATCACTGTCCGCTCTATTCCACCCACTATCCCCTATCGGATATCCATTAATTCCATTCCATCTCTCCCCCATCCTCCTACCTGTCATCCTCCCACCTATGGAATGCTTAATCCTTCCATATTCCATTTAATCGTAAGCATTTAAACATTTGTTCGGCCAATTTAGTTAAATTTAGTGCTCGCATGCAATATTCTCTCTCCCCTCCTTCTCCTCCTCCCTTTCATCATTTATCACCTTCCCATCCTATTCCGTCCCTTTCCCTTCTCACTTTAGTTCAGTTTTCTTTTCGAATTCACTGATATCTTTAAAATACCATAAAATTTTTTGAATACAAATGTAATAAATTGACAAACTTCTTTGTCAATATTAAATATTTTCGACATCTTGAAAGACGTTTTTGTGATGCATTAAATTTTCATAAATGATTACGACGAGATCTTGCCTACTTGGCGATCATCCAGGATCTCAGGATGAATAAAATTCGAAATTATAGAATGCATAGGATTCAGGATTATTTATGATACTACAATAATGCATCGCTTGAATTTTAGTGATCCATCCATGTCCTCATATGGATGAGGGAGAGGGCGAGGTTCAACAAAGGAGAGGTCAACGAGGTCCTCTTTTTCACACATTCAACACTGTCACGAAGGATCTCTGACTCAATTTCACTAATCATTGCTCGAGGGGACATCCAGTTAAACCGATCAACTCAATCGGGTCCAATTCGGTGGAAAAAAGAGCTTTTTATGGATTAATATCTTCATCTTTAAAATTTTCACTTATCATTTGAAAACGTCGCATTTTTATAGAAAAAAATTTATAATGTTTTTGAAGGATAAACAGGAAAAATAAAAAGCTTAAAAATATGCATGCATAGCTGGCGAAAACTGAAGCAAATAGCGATTAGTATTGCATTAGACAAAATTTGACTGAAAATCTCTATGGATTTCTTTGAACATGATAATTAATTGCCACTCAATGGAAAAAAAATTGAAGTGTTCATTTCTATTTGCAGCATATATTGTAAACATTACAGTTCCGAAGGTTATTTTAAAAAAGGAATTCATTTAAATTTCGTGTAGTAAAACAAAAGTAAGGATGGAAAGAATAACTACAATGTCGTAATCATTTTAGCCAACATTCCAAGAACAGGGTAATCAAATACCTTAAGTTTTAGCAAGTATGTTTTTTCTTCAAACAGTTTCAAAGGACAAGTATGACGAGATAATAAGAATATATGATAAAAATACTTTCGATTCTTGGGTCTTGCATAACAGTAGCAAAAGGAATATTCCGGATGAGACTGTCGAGCACTACCGGGCTTAACAGGACATCTGATTGTAAGCTATACAAATCTATTCATATATTACTCATAAACATGAAGAGTGAATGTTGAAATGTAAATTGCAATCTTTTTAAAGAGATTTATCAAACTGAGATCAACCTCAGCAATTGTAAGGAAAAAAAATAAATGAAAAACACGATGGATGGATTTAGATCCAATACATCTGCAAAAGCGCCAATTCTAGTAGAGCAAAGAAAGTCCAAGGAAGCAAAGCAATGATAAACAAATAAGTATATCATATGAAAGGTTGAAGGGTGCATAAACCTGTGGCAGTGTATTTTGATAAATAAAATCTGGCAATTTAATTGAAATTATTTCACTTACCCGCAAATTTATATCCGATTAACCAAGAATCTATTTACACCTATTATCACCTTTATTTCCTTTAAAATAAATTAAAAATTTAAACATAGCTAACACTACACTTTTCCAATTCTTCTTTCTCTTTTCTTCACCAGAAAAAGCGGAAAAATTATCAAAATTTTCTAAAAACTATTGAATTATAAGTACCCAACCACATATTACATAAATTAACAAGTGTTGGAATATTTGGATGTTGCAAGCAAAAGGCTAAACATGAAGCCACATCAAAACTATCCAGAAATGATCCATTTCTAATACATTAGTAAAATAGCAAATAAAAGTGCGAATAATTTTGTGATAAATAAAAGGAGAAAATAAATTGCAAAGATCCTTTCCACATCAACAAAAACTATGCGATAGAAAAAGTACACTATTAATTATTTGTTGAAACTCTTTTTTTTGGTTTGTGGGAATAAATGGAAGAAGAGAAATATACCAATAAAGATGCTTGAATACCAATAGCAATAATAATAATAAATAATAAAAAATAATAATAATTGATAGTAATAAAAATAATAATAATTGATAATAATAAAAATAATAATAATTATTAATAATAATTATAATAATAACTAATAATAGTAATAAATAATAATAATTAGTAATAACAGTATAGACAATTATGAAGAGTAACGACAAATGCAGCAAGATCTTCAACAACCAATTGCATATGATACAACTTTCAGGATAACTGGCTCCATTTAAGAATGAGATTTACAGCGTTAAAGCATCGATGGATTATTATTGGAAATGAAATAAACTGACATGAAAGAACAGTTAAAAGACAGAAATTTACTTGGAGAAAGCTAAATAGTTCTAAAATATATGATTTAACTCAAAAATTAAATCATAATTTTAAACGTTGAAAATTTATGGAAATTTTAAATTTAATTAATTTTACACATATATTTGTGAATTTTTATGAAACTAAGATACTTTTTGATTTTTTCACTCATCAAACTATTAAAAAAATTACTTTACAATCGAATTAAGCAAAAACATAGAAATGCTAAAAATGTGACAGCCGGTGAAAACCAAACAACTATCGTACCACATCTGAAATTGTTGAATTGGTATTTCTGATACGGATGTGGTTTTTTTTTTCATCTTTCTCTGTATTAGTAAATCGAATAATTATCAGTTATGTTAATTACTTACGTTTGATTTTCAGGACATTTCTTCTCGCAGATTTCACCATAGAATGATTCCTTACAATTGCACCTGCAAGAAGAAACAATCAATTTATTTCATTTATTATTTGCTTAATAAAAAACTTGAAGAACTAAATAATATCTGGAAGATTTTTGAAGTCTAAATTTTAGATCAATTTATGAATCATAAATTAATTAAGAATTAAAATCAATTTTTAATGGTCAATTTGGTACGTCACATATCGTTTCTAAACATTTCTCCAAGCGTCATTTTGTAGGTAGTATAAATTCCAAATGAGAAGCTAAAATGGCAGATAAACAAAGTAATAAAAGCTTAGACCGCAAGTGAAATGTATTGCATTCGCCTTTCAATTGTAACGAATACATGAAGGATCCGGTCCAGAATGGCTTCAAATGGGTCTAAAGGGTGGAAATCAGTACTGCACTCTGAATACTGTCAAATAATTTTAGAAAAGACGGAAAAAAAGCTGTAAATAATGAGAACCTTCCATCAACAATTTCACCATCATTTCTACATTTGATAATCTTATCACAGTTATCGCCTTCATATTCATCGGCACAACGACATTTGTCACCCGCATTACGCCATCTCCTTTCATGCTCTTTAAAACTTTCGTAATAGCTTCGTAGTTAATTATGATGAAAAAGCAATAACTATAAATAAAGAATCGAAAAGAACAACTTATTGACGTCATTTTTTTCGTCTCTCTCTTTATCTCTCTCTCTAATATATCTCTTCATTATTTTTATTGACAAAACTTTATACTTGATAAGTAGTTGATAAACTAAATGTTAAGTAATCTGGGAAAATGTGACAGGCAATATTCAATGTACCTTTCGAGGCCATTCGCCAACACGCAAGTCGTTCGCAATTCCGACCGTCCCATGGGGCTCGACAAATGCATTCAATCTGTTTTGAGCCAATAGCGATCGTTCCATTATGTTGGCATGAATTAGGTGTACATCTAAATATTGTTTCTGCTTCTTTTTTTTAATGCTTCTCTAGTTTCTTAGTCTGAAGTTGATAATAGTAAGAATGATGTCATTCTAATCACCCAGAATGTTAAGGTTCGCAAATCATTGTCAAGATGATATCTTTTCAGTTCAGTTATTTCATAAATTGTCAGCTGTTTTTTTCGAATTATTCAAATAAGGATAGATATAGGAATCAAAGTACAAAGGATCTTTTTTAAAAAACGTGTTGAAAGGATTTCAACATCATAAAGATTTTCTAAATTTATTCCCTATATACAAAACAACTTGTCCTATGATGTCAGTAATCACTCTTCTAATGCAAGGAATCGAAAAATTCCCTCTGCGATAAATTCTCCGAATATGAATAGATATGAGGAAATGAAATCATGCAAAAACTCACGATATCACTTTGAAATTTTAATTGGCTGATAATTTATTAGTTGATCAAAAAACTTATTTCGATTATCATATAATTGATAATCGAAATAATTTAGCAATGTGGATAAAAAAATAAAGCTCACACGCTATTGTAGAGGGAGAAACCAGTAGGGCAACCGTAGTATTCGTTACAAATTGGCCCCTTCCATCCGGGCTTGCATTCGCATTTGTCATTTTTCACTCTGCCATGCACTAAATATAAAATGCTTGTTATTTCACAGTTCACATATTTTTAGAATTTTAAAATTCTCGATATGAATCCTTTCGTAATGTTGCGTGAAAGTCGATGAACTACGTTAAAAATATACTCCAAGTATTATACGAGCGCTTTGAATCAATCTATTAATTATTTAGTTGTAGTAAAGAGCCTATTTAAAAATTCTGCACTGCAGATGGAAAAGAACTCACCTCTCAATGTACGACATTTGATTTCTTCATATTCGGAACTAAACTCTTCACCTCCACCTTTAGCTTCTGAATACTTATCACATTTTTCCAGGCTTCCATCCACGATTCCATAGCCATAGTAGGAATCCATAGTACAACTTTCCGGTATTAAATTAAATGGGATTAAATCAACGTATGCATCATCTTTATCCTTATGCCGTTGTTGACATGCAATAACCGGCATTATCAGCATGCATAATGATAAATGTATCGCTCCAAATTTCATCACTGAAATTAAAAAAAGATTATTTGTAAATCTTAAGCAAAAAAAAGACCTAAAAAAGCAAAGGAATGCGTAATCGCATGTATATAGTTTAGCATGAATGAAACGAGAGATAAATTTCATTATGTATACAAATTATCATCGAAATAACTATCTCCGTTACATCAAAAAATAGGTAGTCAAAAAATTGTGATATTGACACAAATTACATGACCATTGTTCTCTGTGAAGATCGCGTTATCACCGATTGGATCATCATTTAATGGATGAAAAAGAAGCAAAGCAAAACAATACGATACTTTGTAAATGTATGAAAAATTTGGTGGATAGAATATTACGTCTACAAAGCTAATGGTAAAAGGAGAATATGGAACTTCAATGGAAACTTAAAAATAAAGCAATATATGCGAGCGAGAATCATTTCCTCTTCTCCTCTCTTTCCTTTCTCCATCCCTCTCTCTCTCTCTCTCTCTTTCGATAATTTTGGTGAATTTTCAAGTGTAGAAAAGCATGAACGGATTTAGAAAGAAAGTAGAAAGAGGACAAAAAAGAAAGGATGAAAAAGGCAAAGAAATGGGAAAAGTTAAGAAATAAAATGATTGTTACAAATAAGTTATTGTAGTAGCAATTTTCAATAAACAATAATAGCTACCAAACAATAATAGAAAATAACGAACGATATATATGAGCTCTTTAAGATATATGAATAAATTCAAAGCAATAGGAAATTCGTTTCAGGAAAGAGGGAATGTGAAGACTGCCAAGAAAGTATAAATTAGTCAGTATGAAAGGAAAAATTTAAACTGTGATAGATAGTCCATTTAGATATCTGATCAACAATTGCAGTAATTTAGCTTATTTTTTATCGTGCTTAGCTTACATCAAATGATTTTAATATTATTGATGGATAAAATAGGGAAAATGGTTATGATATGACAAAAAAAAGAGAATTATCATTTAACAATACTAGTGATGGTAAAATTGAAATTATTATTGACAAACTAGAACATCGTTTATGATTGATACCTAAATGACATATAATTTTGCATCATAACATTCATGAGAAATATTAAACAAACAAACAAACATATGGATGAGAAATTAAAAAGAAACGAGAAAATGATAATAAGTGTTAATAATGGTGAAAATGATAATAAATAAAATGATAATAAGTGATAATAAGTGTTAGAAAATGATAATAAGTGTTAAAATGATAATAATTATTCTGTGCTATGCTTTATTATTATTATTTTTTAATTCTACACTTAATTATTTCATGCTAATTATTCTATACTTTTTTCATCACTTTTTCTCATTTTTAAATCGATACTGATTGAAGAATTTCTCGTTTAAATTATGAATTAAATTAGAAGACTTTTCTGGATTTTTTGAAAGGATAAAATTGCTTTCGCTATTTTCATATCCGTATTTCCGTTACCCGTACCGATCGATTGTGAAAAGTTGCTGTACCGTTTGCATCCTTGATATATATTTGCTTTCAATGAGTAAATTTTTCTTTTTTCTTCAAGGTTTAATGTTTTTTAAAAATATTTCAAACACAAATTGCTAGGAATACTAATATGGTTGAAATGAATTAATGTTCGATTTGATAATGAATACTTTACTTCTTCAAATCTTTCAATAGTGCTATGCTCTCTCGATTTATTTAGCTGTCAAGATAAAAAACCTCTTAGGTATTCATATTGCTTAAAGCTCAGGTTACCATGGAGACTCCTCCTGAGAAATCCACATGGCTATCTGCAAGGCAAAATGCTCTGTAGAGCTTATTTTTGACTTCCAATTTGACCAAGAACTTCGGGAATCCTACCTGGAAAATTACATGCAAACTTATCCTCCTAATTGAAAGAGACTATTTCCATCAGGCTCTCGGTTTTTCCATAGTCTCAGTCTACATCTCTAACATCAGGCTCATCGACTCATTTTTTTACTGTAATCTTTGGTAATAGATTAGCGAACGAGAAGTTTGCTTGCCGTATGTGATGCAGGTTAAGAAGGAATTTTCCGACTAAATCGTTGAAGAGTAGAATCGCCGAATGAACCGAACACACAAAACATGTTTAGTTTTTCATATTTAAAATTTCTCAAAAATTTTTTTTCGAAAATTTTCACTGAAATTTATTTCAAATTAAGGGGTGAAGGAATATATCACGTGGTTCCCATAAAAAATGTAGCTTTTAAAATTAAACATATCTAGCAGTGGTTGTTTTAACTAGATTTTGTTTAAAAGTTCAAAAAATGACAATCTAAAAAGCTTATTGTTGTTTATTGATTCTATTCTCATAGATTTCGAGTTCAACTTGTCATGCCAAATTAGCTTACGTCGCGGGAATCATAATCTCTACGCCCTCCCATTAATAGTTCACATATAATTTGTTGACCCTGATTCTAATGCCACAAGCATCAATCACATCACAATTCTAGCTAAAATGTCGATCCCATAGATAAAAGCTTAAATCCAATTTCCGGAATGTACATAGTTCGGAATAATCTTTACTCATCTTTAGCCACCAAGACTGCAATAATTAACATTGGTCTTTAAGAAACTAATACTGATGATAATTAACATATCCTCTTGAATTGTTTAACTTTTAATTTCCTGCCAGACAACTATTCCATTGCGTTAATTTAATTTGTTGAAATGAAAAGATTTTGAAAATGATGAAAAGTAAAAACAATAGAAAAACAAGTTAAAAGGAAAAATAAGAATAAATAAAATTACACCGAATTGACGTCTGATCATCGTTATATTCTGTGCTTTGAGGATGTGCGTACATATACGAATGGACATTTTGTGGATTTAAAGCGAATGCTTAACAAACGAAAATCAATGTCGAAATAGTTAGTATTCAACGAAGAAGCGCTGTGAAAGAACGAAATTAAATGAAATTGAAAGGCCATAGAACTAACTTCGTCGTCGCAGTTAACATATGTTTTGAACATATCATGACAAAGTTTCACTTTCATTTCTTCGGAATGGACCAAACCATTATGTTTTCAAGCAAGAAGTGACAAGAAGAAATTAGAAATAGATAAGAAGTGATTTAGTGAGTTTAAAAATAGCACCGGAAGAGAAATTCGTCCTTTTACTTTTACACTACCAATATTCGCTACTAAAAATATAACATTCTAAATAGAAAATAGAATCGTGCGATGATTATTCACATAATATAATTGTTGTAAAGTTAAACTTTGATTGGGAAGATAAACAACCATTCATTAATAGTCCCTTTTATCTTCTCCTCCTTTTGTGATCAACATTTATATATATTGATTGAATCTTATGATAATCGTATCCAGAATAGAATCAGCATTGAAATATGTGGTAACAGTTCATAGCTTCACATACTTAGATAAGACGAATGCTGCTTAAAGTCAATGAGGCGAATCAATAAATTATCATCATGCATTATGGACACTTAATCAACGGGATAATAATTACCCGCAGGTTGATTCAGGAAAATAATAGCTTGCAGGGTAAGGAAGCAATTCATTTTGTTAGCAAATAAAGTGAAATACAATGATCATCTAGAACGTGCTAAAATTTTTGTTTACTGCCCTTTGGATGCTTTTAAAAAAGACGCCAATAGCAAAAACATCAACAACAACAAAACAAGATTTTCCCATCTTTATTTCCCTTCCTTTCCGAATTTCCTCATTCTTCCTTCCTGAAGTTCAGTTTAGAAGCCTTTCAATTATCTGTATTTCCTTCTCTTTTTTGTGTTACAGGAATTCTACAACCACTTCTAATCCACATCTACTTCATCTCTTTCCGTCTTCCACGCTTATCCACATCCATCACAGACTACATCTCATTCCATCCTTGTCTCACTTCTCAAATGTCATTGATGTTGACAAATCCCATGAGTTATAACACTTTGTTTACTCTTCCATTTAAGATGAGAGGTGTCTTAAAAAGAAATAAAACAGTTTATAAATTTTTCTATTAGCACATTACATCATTATTGAATGCAGCAAATGTCGGTAACAACGCTTGCAATTAGAAAGGAAAGTTAACTAGTGAAAATCATCGGGTCACATTGAGTTCAATTTTTCTTTCTATATCATATTTTCTTTGACGTTCCTGAAAAGAAGTTCGATTTTCTTATGTTCGAACCACTGCCCTCAATCAAACTTACTCTCAATAACTTCAAATGAGCGACATTTTGAATGGAAATTTTCAGAAATGCTTGAACTTTATATATCAATTTGTAAGCCATTAAAGTAATCCTTTTCTTTTCGTAAAATAATGGGAAAAATAGAGGAAAAATGCAGTAGGACCAATTATTTAGGCACAAAATAGAAAAATAGAAAAAAGGTAACAATGCTTAACAAAAGAGTCTATCAAAAATGTAATCGTTGAAGATGCGATCAAACTGAAAATACCTCAATGATAGGATGAGGGAAATTAGGCAATGTGCAAGTCATTGAATGTAATCACTAAATAATAGTGATTATTAGGCAATAAAAATATTGCATATGTATCGAATGGGTGAAGAGAGTAATGCTTTACTGGAAGGGTTGAGATTTAGTCTCGCTGTGAGTTTAATTTAGTTTTGATTGATGATAATATTAGTTATTGCACTATATGATAGGGAAGTCTTCATATTGCTTAGCAAAGACGGAATTAAATGAAACTTATGCAGCACTTGGTTGGATCTAGATAGTTCCCTAAACAAAGGTCCTCTTCTAAAGACATAGAATTGAATTTCAATGAAAATCCTTGATCTAAAATATTTCGTTGTTTTGAATAGAAAGAATTGCAAAATGTTAAAAATGATTTGAGATGAATAGAAGTTCGAAATTCTTGGACGATTTAACGTTGGAAGTGTGAATATACAAACTGTTCCACTTCTTTGCAAATATTTTATTAACTTCAATAAAAATAAATTATTTTAAACAACTACGAGAATGTCAACGAATTACGTAGTCATTAAAAAAGCTTCAATATTGCAATGAAATGTATATAAATTAATACTACTATT